GGATTCCTAACAACAGAAGTGTGATGTCTCTACTCCTTTGCCTGCTCTTGAGAACCATATTCTCCTTTTGGGTTGCCTCTTATCCAGACTTGATATGAGGGTTTGTGCTTAGGCTTACTGCATCTTATTCTGCCCTGTTATCAGTTGATTTTCCTGGGAAACCTGCTCTTTTCTGAAGGGAAATGGAGGTACAATGGATCTTGGGGAGAGGGGAGTATGTAGCCCGTAAAGGGAGGAGTAGACAGAGGGGAGGGAGTGGTTGAAGTATATTATATGAGGGAACAATAAATACAGAAACAGTAAATAAGATGATATATCCATTTTAATATCCGACAAAATAGACTTCAAACCAAAACTAATCAGAAGAGATACAGAAGGATATTATATATGCTTCAAAGGAAAAAATCTAACTAAAGTGTATTAGCATTCTTAACATCTGTGCACTAAACTGTTGAACAGCTAAATGCTTGATACCTGGAAGACTTAAGATTTAGGAAATCTATTATTACATAGTGTATATCTATAAGCACATTTGAGTTTTGTATGAAAGAACAAACTCTATTGAGACTGGGCAATAACAGCATAATATTAAAATAATATATGGTTAGTGTACTGAAAATAATCAGATGACTTTTCTAGAAAAATACTTTCTCAATGGTCTGAATAGAGATAAACCATAGTAATGATAAGCAGGTAAACAAAATACATCTTATTACAAATTGTGTTTCAGCTCCCAAGAGCCAGTAAATCTAGTAAATTGTATTGAGAATTAATAGAACTCAATCCAAAATAAGATATGCTCCTGTCATAATACTAAGCCTACATCTGATATTTGGAAATTACCTATTTTCTCAAACAAAGAGATATACTCTCTAAGCTCAGGAAAATTCGCAAATAAGAAAAGAAGTAAGTAGAAAGGGTTTTGTTCCATTTGGTTTAGCTTTCAGCTAAGACCACCTGCTACAGACACCACCACCACCACTTTTCTCTCTCCATATTTTTGTGCAATATGTATCATCAGGAAGAACTGGAAGGGCAGATGATATGACCTTGAAAGGGGGCAAAGGAGAAGGACTTACTAGCAGACACAGACAAAGAAAGAAGTTATCTGAACTTTTTTTTTTCATTGATTAGTAGGAAGGTTATGAGGAAAAGAAAACCCTGAAAGCCCTCTTCAAATTTCCAACTATAAATTCCTTAGCTGTGTTGTTAATTACAATCCAAGCAATACAGCCCTCTACTTGGTTATCAGGAAAGGAACAATGAGGACAGAACTATTGGTCTCATTTGGTCATGGGAAGAGGTGAAAAGTAGGTCAGAGCAAGTTCAAGATTAATATCATCTGCCTTGCACAAAATTAATGGTTCTGAGTTTTTGATTTTCAAAGAACTAGTTTTTAAATCCTATGCCTTTTATTACTTTGGGCTTTAAAAGGTTATTGATGTTTTTCCAGGGCTAGAAATCAAATTTCTATGAAGCCATAATCAAATTTTACTTGTATACATGACATTCATTGAGATTCCCACTTAGTTATTTGTGATATATAAAAAGGAATGAAGATGAATGATATTTCAGAGATGGCTCAGGTATGGTGGTGTGTTAGTCCCAAGGCTCCTCTAGAACATGGGAAATGGGATATGTAGTTATGTAGAGGACACCTTGTCCCAAACAAGGTAAAAGTTGGACCCTACATCCAAGGTTGTCTTCTTACTGCCTCATAATAATCAGTATGGTACATTCACACCTGAAAGGACACATATGCAGACACATATACTTATATTCATATGCTCAGATCCAATACACAACCATATATATTACAGAATTATAATCAACTCATAGACTCATGCTACACATATCAAACAAATAATATACATGTCATGTTGAATTATATATATATAATATATGAATTATATTATATAATTCATACAAATCATATATAATATATAATCATATTTAATATATAATATATAATATATATAATTCATACAAATCATATGCATATCATTAATACATCCAACACACATCGTGCCAACACAACCTTAAAAAAGGTGTCTCTACTTTTTAAGAAACATGTATTCTGCACTGGGTAGTGGTGGCACATGCCTTTAATCCCAGTACTTGGGAGGCAGAGGTAGGTGGATTTCTGAGTTCAAGGCCAGCCTGATTGATCTACAGAGTGAGTTCCAGGACAGCCAGAGATACACAGAGAAACCCTGTCTCGGAAAAAAACAAACAAAAAACAAACAAAACAAACAAAAAAACACAAGAGAAAAGCAAATATACACTTGCAGTGATTCAAAAATTTGTTCATTTGTTCCAGAACACTAAAACTAAAACTAATCAGAAACTCATTTATTTTTTGTAATTAGCTTTAAAAGTTGCTACTTCATCATTGTAATTTGGTAATATATTAATAAACTACAAGTTACATTGTTTCTATTATAGAAAGAAATGATAACTGAAAATCGATGGCATCTAAGAGAATTAAATAAGTTTACTCTCAGTTTTCAAACTTTTATACAGAAGACTTATTTTGTGAATCTTTCACTTTTCACTGGCTATGCCTTAAACTTATTTAAGAAAACTACAGAACATTACAGTCTTTGTAATTGGTTACTTTTTATTATTTAGGTAAGACATTATGACCAAAGCAACTTAGAGAAGGAAGTTTATTGTATCTATAGTTTAAGTGATAAGATTCCATCATGGCTGGTAAGCATATCAGCAGCCAGCAGCCATGAGCAAGAACAACTGAGAGCTCATGTCATAAGCTGCAACCAAGAATGCACACTGGGAATGACATGTGGCTTTAAAACCTCAAGGATCTTCCCAAGAAGAAGAGCTATGCTTCCTAATCCTACCCAAAACAGATCCATCAATTAGGGACCAAGTGAGGTCCCTTTCAAACCACTACAGTCTATTTCTTGCCTTGGTTCTTTTCGGTTTGCGTCCCACTGCTGTTATCCCAACTTCCCAGAATCCCAGTGTAACTATTTCTGGCTATCCCAAATGTCAGGATGATTTCAAGGACCTGAAAGCTGAGTAAAATTCTAAAAGGACTTAGTATAACAATTGGTCCATTTAAAAGAGAACTTGGAAGTTCCCGGATGCGGGTATGTAGAGAGACTCTGTTATTTACTTTACAGAAGCATTGGCTGTCAATAAAAGCTGATAGCCTATTAGATGAGGCAGAAAAGAGAAGGTGGGAGTTCAGATAGAGAGAGAGGGACTCTCTCTGAGTCAGGAGGGGTAAGAGATTTGCCTGGAACTCTGAGACAGACACATGAAACTGAAAAGAGGTAACCAGCCATGTGGCACTCAAAATAGAATAAATGGGTTAATTAAGCTGTGAGCTAGTTCAGGAATATGCCCAAGCTTCTGGCTTAAGCATTTATTCATAAATAATAAGTCTCAGAGTAATTAGTTTTGGGACTGGGACATAGGGTGGAAAAGCCTACAGTTAGAAACGGAGCACTGAACATGTGGCTAGAATTCAGGCTCAGAGCCTGAATTCTTTGCTGATCTTCATCAGGTGTTGCTGAGGCTGGTCTTTGCTGACTCTCTTGTATTGATTTACCTTGCTTTCTTCATTGATCTTAGCTGTGACTTCATAGAGAAAAATGCAGCAAAGAACTTTTGATGGTATTCCTGCTACTTCTTGCGCTTCTGCGGACTGGTGCAGATAGGTGAAGCCTTGCCTGTTTGTTTGTTTGTTTCCTGGATTACGGCACTGATTCAGGTTTGGTATTTGCTGAGTGGACTGGATTGCTGACAATGTTTGGAATTGCCTCCAAAAACTATTTTTAATGATTTCCTATTAGTCTTTCTTTTCCCCTACCTCTGGTGGGTGGTGGGCTAGAAGGAATATTGAATCGGTTAAAGTTGGCTTTGAAAAATCTCAGACTAGGGAGTCTACCCATTGTTTCTACAACCATGCACCTCTTCTTTTCCTCATATGAAACCAATGGTTTCCTTGCCAGCTATAATGTTCTCCCTATACATAGCAGAAGACCCAGTTCAAACTAGTGTAACCAGTAAAATATTATTTCGCGGTTTCCCCATCACACTCAGTTTCCAGCGTTCTTATAACAGTTTTAAATGTACCAATATGAATACTCCAAAGAAAGTTCTTAAATTAATTTTACTGCAACACCTAATATTGCATTGTACATTTTAGTTATGGCAGGCACTAATGGTTCCCTGTAGTGGTAGCATGTGTTCACTTAAGATTTTGAATGCTTACTGTGCTATTTTGGGTGGAAGGAAACATATTGGTAAGGTATGTTTCAGTCCCTAAATTTATAGAGCTGTTAGGTGGTAGATGGTAAAACATCATGTAATTCTTCTTTGTTTATAAACATTTTCTGTAAGAATGATGATGGTTCTATCCCTAACCACAGTCATGACAGGCCCCTGAAGCAACTTTTATATTCCTATTTACTCACTGATGTGATGTAGATTTTTAAAAAAATGTAACAAAATGCAAACTCGGTCCTCTAATTTCTTCCCTTAGGTAATCTCTAATGCAATCCTTTATCTCACTGGTGGGAGAAAGGTCTGACTTCAAGAGGAGGGATAATAAATGCCTATTTCAGAGAAAGCAGGTGGATATGTGAGAAGTAATGCAATCAACCCTGTGACATTGAAACCTGGAGCAGAAATCAATACAACACATGGTATTGTGATTTGAGAAGACAAGTTTTCCAGAGACGTTGCCACCCACTCATACTTTTCTATATCGTTTATGTTAGATTTTGCTCTACAGGGGCTAAGGTGAGCAAGTGCAACAAAAACACAGTCGACAGCATATCAAGTGATCCGTTATTTGTACAGTGTTGGGAAATTGATCCTAGAGCATGAATTTAGTTTTATGCTAGGTTATATCCCTGTCCATGAAATGGTCTGTTACAGAAATATGCCTCTACCATGATTTCAAGATAGAATAAACACTGAATATGTATATATTACACATGTATGTATTATACAAATATAAATTCACATAGTATATAAGGATGCATTCCTTTTATTTTTAGGTTTCTGTCAATAACAGTAACTGTTTTCTTTCTATGCAGAGTTTGTTATGATAAAATACACAATTTGGAAAAAATATTATCCTCTTGAGGAGCACAATCTTCTGGTAACTTCAAGATCCCATCCAGAATCTTTAAGTTTGGCAAACACAAGAACACTCTAAAACAAAACAAAACAAAAATTAAATAAGTATATTGAACAAAGAATTTCATTTTACTTACTTTATGAGTAAATGTGTTTTACCTATTCAAATAAGAAAGGGTGTACTGCTGTCACTTTATTCTGTTCTCTATAACTTGAAGAGGGGTTGAAACAAGCCATTGTTCATTCTTTGAGCTAATGACCTGGGCATAGTCTGCCCTCTCTTGGATTGAATTGATCTTTGAGCAGGAGTAAACATTAATTAGAGAAGTGATACAGAGTTCATTCTGATTTTATAAGAGAACTCAGTCCAGTTTTCATAAAGCCCTCTAAGAAAATAATCAGTGAGTATAATCAGCCAATATACTGTAAAGGAACAAATAGGTCTATGAGGGCAAATGCGCCTGACATAGAGTTAAAAGTTCAGTGAGGCTGTGCAGGAAGGCAGTATTATTTAGTGAAGGTTGAGAGGAATAAAAGCAGGATGAGAAATATATTCTCTAAGCTATTTTGTCTTGACAGAAAGTTCTTCTGTCGGTCATATTTCAAATTTAGGAAGTCAATTCCAAGGTCAAAAGAGATCCTTCTGATCAGTATATTAAAACAGTCATCATACACAGAGAACTGTTACAAGGCAGTGCCTTCCTTCAAGTGGACAGCCCTCCTACATTTGGGAATTCTTAGACTTTAAGCAAATGGAATCTATGGCCATCGCAATGAAATGGAATATCCTAAGCAATACATTCGGCATATTATTTTACTTAGTCTTCACATCAGATCTATCAAGCTGATTCTGATTCCCTACTTTAAATATTTTATTCGGGGTCTCAATCTTAGCCAAAGAAGAATTGAAATCTAAGTCCTTGGGCGCCAGTGTTCAGACTTCGCTCATGAGACTCCATCACAACCCAAATTTTCAAAACACAAAGCTGTGATGAAAATAATATAACATTGATTTCTGAAAAACTGCAGAGAATTTAGCTATGCTAAACGAGCATATCCTGGAAGTGGGGTTACCTTCCATCTCAGTCCTTTCTCTTAGAATCATGCTGTCTGAACTGAACATGGGGAGAGAAAAGGAAAGAGAATCATAATTCTAGGCAATAGTATCCCAGAGAAGCTACATACAAAATAATTATAAACAGGGTGTCAAGGATCTCTAGAGTTTGGCCCAAATCCTTGATAGGAACACCTAGTAAGAAAATAAATAGTGTATTATCTTCAAAGTGAGGATTACTGGATTGGTAACTGTTCTCAAATTTATATGGACTTCAAAATTTGTCTTATCTACTCAGTATAATTAGAAGCTTAAATCCTTTCTTCATATGTTAAAACTCACCTCATCTCTGTCTTCAAAGCACCCTTCAAGTACCCAAGTCAACACAACCTGCCTTTTGTAGCATAAAAGTCAGTATACATCCATCTCAGACCTAATTAATACTGGAAAAACAGAAGAGACTTATTTTCACCTGACTATATACTACATCATGAATTTTGAAGACAGAATTATAGTGAAATGGCAGGGCAGATTAGATTTCAGACAGTCTTAATGTTCTTACTGTAACGTGGCTTCTAGAGGAAGTCAGGTGACTTGAGTTGGCACTAAAATGCTTTATAAAATCCCACATATTAACAAAACTAAAATATGATAGAATTAAGTTATCCTTAAGACTAAGAATGTGACTTCTTATGAATGATGTTGAAATGTCTGCCTAAGCCTCCTCTGAATTGAGAAAATATTATTTTAACCTTCAAAACATTATTATGATTAAATATTAGCTCAATGTTAAAGTCACAATGCTGCCAGTTCTCACTTCTTTGTAAAAGCAATTTGAAATTTTCTTTCCAACTACAGTCATAGGGGAGACAACTGCAGTAATAAGATTCATATAGTAACAACACAGATTAGAATTCAAATTTTGACAATTTGTCACTGTACAGGAGGAGTTGCACAATATAACTTTACATAAAACTGTCTTTCTATTATGGGAAAATTGGCAATTATGAGAAGGGAAGATAAGAAGAACCACATCTGTTATTGAAGCTTGTTGTCTGCCAAGAGTTCCCATCAGAGAATGGGATTAGACTGTCCCCAGAGATGATTTGGCCCTTAATAGAAAAGAATTAGTGGAGAGATAAGTTGATTTGAAGTCATATGGGAACAAATATACGGTTAGAACTCATTTACTTGTTCTTATCTTTTCAAATCCTGTAAGAATACCAACAACACAGAATTTGCTGGAAATATTTATCTATTTTTATTTATCCTATCTATCTATCTATCTATCTATCATCTATCTATCCATCTATCATCTAGCCATCTATCTATATGTCATCTATCTTCTTTTTTATTTATTGATCTGTCTATCATTATAGTGAGCATTTGCTTAGTATTTAATCCAAGGCTGTTTAAATTCTAATAATATCATTAGAGGTGTTCCCAGCAGTGACAAAATAAAATCATTTTTTTCCTTGGCAGATTTTAAGTTCATTCAATCACTGCGGTAGACTTAATCAATTATTTCTTTATATGTGGTGCTCAAGGACCATCATGAAAATAAAATCAGAGAGTAGAAAATACATGACAATCTTATAGAATCTTTTAGAAATATATGTTTAGAGAAAAGCTAAAGACATGATATCTCTTAAACATAGGAGAGAAAATATCTCAAATTTGGAAGCAAAATGAAACTTTTGTAAGTATTGAAAGTCCCATTACAAAGATCAAATGAAGATGGTGAGTGAGAAAAAACAAAGCTTCCATATGACACTATAAATTTGAAATAACTCTCATCTGTAAGTTCAAAAGGAAGACAACACACACATTGGAAAGACAAGGAAGGTTCACACTCAACAACTGATTGTTAGCAATTAGATAAAATATAGAATTATAGAGTGTTCAATTTATAAAGGAATTAGCAGGTTACAAGTTAGAGCCCTGAGCAAATCATTAGAGGAGGGGAGAAAACCCCTTTAACAAGGCCCCTACTCTAGACCCACAAATTAATGGAAAAGGAAAATTTTTTGCAAACAAAGACATTAAAGACAGAAATTTCAATGATAATGTCACAAGCCATCAATGAATCAGACACTGGAAAATTACCCAATGCCACCTGTTCAGTGTCACAGTCTACTACCCAGAGCAAATGTTAAGCTAAATCAAACGGCCTTCCAAGAATTTTTTTTTTTAAAAAAAAAAAACTTGTCACAACCACATGTCTAAGCCTCAAAGCTTTTTTCCAGTTTCTTAAGATCATAAGACCCAGAGAATTGTATATCCATATTTGAGATGACCTGGATTAAAATTCAGAGGAATGAGCATACTCAAATTAAAATGTGAACACTAACAGAAAAGCAGGAAAGACCTGGCGAGCTGAGAACATCAAGCTGCAAGGGCTTCTTCTTCAGATGTGGTTGCTTCTGTAGTTAGTATTCTACTCCTACTTGTGGTGAGGGATGATTCCCACTTTTCTTAACACATGGGCTGAGAATTTAGTTGTTGAGCTGTACCTCCAATGCAATGGGGGGGTATAACAACAGAATCCAATAATAACCTAATCCCATACTTAGACGTAAAGAAAATCCTTGATTAAAATAATGTAACCAATGAGATGAGCACAAAATAATAAATCCCAGCATCAAAATGTAAGAACCCTGTCCAAAATCAAGACAACAAGATTTCCTTGAAAATTGTCAACTCAATAATAATGAATTCCAATGACAATAAGTTAAAGGAATTCCCAGAGAAAGAAATTAAAAGAGTGGTTGTAAGAATGTTCAACTATGTGAAAAATGAGGGAGCTGGAGATATTTCTCAGTGGTTAAGGGTATCTGGTGGTGTTATGAAAGATGAGATTTCAGTTCATAGCACATACAATAGGATATCTACAATTGCCTCTAACTCCAGTTTCAAGAGATTAGACACCATATCCTGGCCTCTGTAGGCATAAACATGCACACAGTACATATACATACATGCAAGTAAAACATTAATATCCATCATTTTCTTTCTAAGAAAAGGGGCTTAATTGTATTCCTAAATTAGTTCAAAGAAAACGACTGAATGAAATAAGTGAATGAAAAATGTCAATTTAGAATTTAAAAAAAAAGCAAAAACAAAATTCAATCAAGATTTTTAAATGCCGAAAAGTAGTCAATGTAAATTTTGGAAATGGAAATCACAGTAAGTCAAATGAAAACCTTAGTGGAAAGCTTTACCACAGGGATGAATTAAGTAGAATATAAAATATCAGCGCTTTAAAGAACAGGCAGATAGATTATAACAGCAGTAACAACAAAACAATGAGAAGAAACAAGCAAGGGGAAAGTAATACTGTTAGAAGACAAAACTGACCATGGAAGGAGGAGGAGACATATAAGACAGCAACACAAAATGTATATTCAATAAAATTATAACATAATATTTCCCAAATCTAGAAAAAAGAGTGGCCATTCATACATAGGAAAGACTGGGAATAATAAATAAGACCATGAGATATTCAGCTACATTAACTTATAGTAGATATACAGAGCAAAGAATATTGCCAGCTGCAAGAGGGAATCACTAAGTCGCTTATAAAGGTAAAGCTATCAGAACAGCACCATTCTTAAGACTTTAAAGGCTCCAAAGAAAGGAATAATATATTGTAATTTCTGAAAAAAAAATGCCCAACACCTATACTGATGTGTCCTGTAGCAATACCTTTTATCACTAAAGGAAAAGGAAAATTGTGTCATAATTAACACAAATCAAATAAAGACATGCTAACTAAGCAAGCGATAAAGAAGATAATTGAAGGAATCCAAAACACTAATGGCAAAAATAGATACATCCATGAAGTACTAGGAAGGACCCAACAACACTAGAAAATAGAAAAACAAACATGAGTTATCAAAATACCAAACAGTATAAAAGTAGAAATATGGGAATTATTAATATATACTTAAAAACCCTAAAAGAAAAACAACTCTTTAACCAAATCAAGGAAAGCTTTGGACTGTAAATCACATAAGTGTGCCCTGTCTGAGGAACTAGGAAGAGAAAACAAGAGTATACACACTAAGATCTGACAAGATACACTTCACCTCAAAATTATGTATGTGAATACACACACACACACCACAGGCACCTACATGCAAATGGTGTACATATGTGCCCTCAGGCATACACATGTATGCATGAAATAAAGAGCAAACCTTTGTTAAGTGAATGTAAACAAGAGAGGAACAACATGCAATATGGCTAACAGTACACTATTCAACAAAAGGTACCCCAGACATTTGAGCCTTACTGCTTCCTGTAGTTTTGGTGAAATTCACAGGGGTTCCTCTTCAAGGTGAGGGATTCCAGTGGTGTGTACCTTAAACTGGAGAGGCCAGCCAGTGTTTCAATGTGGTTTTCAGCCAGTGATAAATGTTGTATCTGAGGTATCTTTGGTAGTTGTTTGAAAGATGTGAGATAGTTTTTGCTCATATTTAAAACTCTGCAGCTGAAGACAACATAAGTTGTATCATTTGCCTTTTAAAAAATATCTTTATTCTTCCCTTTCAGCCTCCCCTCCCTCCACTTCTCCCAGTTCATTGCCACCTCCCCTCTCATCTAGATTCATTGTTCCTCTGTTTCCCTTCAGAAAAGAACAGGCCTCCTTCTAAAGTGGGCAGTGAACTATCAAATCTTATACCACCTTCCAATCCTGCTAAGATCCTAGCCATTCCAGAGAGTGATGTGAGAATTACCACAAAGGTAAATCATGCACTGCGTTCACCACGGGAGAGATGAATGAATAGATGATGGGCCTGCTATACACATGCATCTGCCTTCTCTTCACATGTGTTTAATGGGTGTTGAATGTCCCATACATCTTGAAAAAGTGACTAGTTCTGTACCATTTCCCCAGAAAAAAAAAGTATATACAAAGAAACTCAACTTGTGAAGAATATTGCCCCTAAGTAATGAAGTTGTTGTTCTTCTTGCTTTTGTGTACTTAAAACATTCTATAATAAAAAGATAGCATTTTAAATGAGATGTAAACCTTGATTTATATAGAAAAAGAAATATACATAGTACCCTTAAGAAAATAAAAGTATGTTAGACACTTAAGTTCGGTGTATTTTCTGATATTTAATGCAAAATCATAATTGTATGAGACTGTGATGATGGAGGAAATAATTCAAATCTATCTCTAGCACACAGCCTTAAGGAAAAAATATATTCTTCATGAATAAGTTGTATTTACTACTACAAGAAAGAAACAGTGCACTGACTTTGACATGAGAACGGTTATTGGTAAAAGGGGGTAAAAACCAAAGGAAACCTAGAGGCATAAAAACAAATGAAGCCCTCAGAATCCATCCTTCCCTTTGCATATATAATACCTTTCTTCTTCTGCCAGTTCAATTCCATATGCACTTTATATAGCCCTAATGATACTTTTAATATCTTTTAGTGTCTTTTCTTTACCAATTCAGGACTTTGGCACTTTCTAATTATAATCTCAGCCAGCATTTTCTGCTCTACTCTCTTTCCATTCTCCTCCAAAGTCAGTTGCCTCCACAGTGATCAATCAATCATATGTTTCCTCCCTGTCCTCTCATCCTGACTCATCACACCATCACCTAGAATAACTCTATCCCATATGGCTTCAGGCAGCAAGATATGACAGAGACAGGCAAAATCCTAGAGGGCAATAACATAGCTTTTCTGATAAAGGAGAGGCAGCTATGGATATGTATGCATCATATTTTTCTTTTTTGATCTAACAATTTGAAAGATGTAAAATATGAATTATACTTGTAAAACTTTGTATTATATGTCCTCTCTTAAAGGAATAATAATGAAGAGGAAAATACATTTAGAAAGCATCAAAATTAGACCTTTCTTTTAAGATATATATATATATGTACATAAGCATTCAATACTTCAAGCCAAAACTTTCTGGATTAGTGTTCTAAATATACTCTAAACCTTTGTGACTGTCAAATTGCTGTTTTGCATGTTTATTTCCATGAGAATTGGCAAAATATAGCTATGTATCCCTTCTATCTTAATTAGCCAATTAAATCACCAAATAAGTTGGTGTTGAGTGATGCAGGATTTATGTGTGTGTGTGTCTGTGTATGTGTATATGCATGTGTGTTAATATAAATTTTCTTGAAACTTTTTTGTGTTCTTTTAAACTCAATTTTAAAAAAATGAATAGAAGTACATTTAAATGTTATGTACATTTCACACAGACTTTGAAAATGCCTGAAAGTGGTAATAGATACATCGAAACTGCAGATTCTGGCCTACTTTACATCTCCCCAGCTGTTTCTTTTCTTTTGTACAGTGATGCTAGTACGTTTCTACAGCTTTGTCAACCCACAGTCAGAGACACATCTTAATTTCTCTGGGATTTACTTTCATGTTGAGTTTCTGTTTCCTTCTTCACTATTTTAATTTGCTTTCTGTTACTGTGATAGACACCATGACAAATGCAACTATAGGAGAAAAGGATTTATTTAGCTTACTGGTTATAGACCATCACTAGGGAAACCCAAGATGAGGTCTTAGAACAGAATCCATGGAGGAAAAATATTTACAGGATTACCTTCAGGTTTATGTTCAGCTGGATTTTATCAGGGGAAGAAAATTTATATCTTTTTAACAATCCATAAGAATATAGTCAACCATGATATAGAAGATGTAGCAACTACAGCAAATTTTTTACTGGATATTTTCTTTATTTACATTTCAAATGTTATACCTGTTACCAGTTTCCACCCCAGAAACCTCCTATCCTATCCCCCTCACCCTGCTTCTATGAGGGTGTTCCCCCACCCACCCAGCCGCTCACTTCCACCTCCCCACCCTGGCATTCCTCTACATACTAGTATGAAGGCATCGAGCCTTCATAGGACCAAGGGCCTCTTCTCCCATTGATGCCTGAGAAGGCCATCCTCTGAAACATATGCAGCTGAAGCCATAGGTTCCTTCATGTATACTTTTTGGTTGTTGGTTTAGTCCCTAGGAGCTCTGGAGAATCTGGTTGGTTGATATTGTTATTTTTCCTATGAAGTTGCAAACCCCTTCAGCTCCTTCAGTCCTTTCTCTAACCATTGGAGACACCATGCTCAGTCCAATGGTTGGGTGTGAGCATCTGCCACTGTATTTGTCAGGCTCTGGCAGAGCCTCTCAGGAGACAGCTATATCAAGCTCCTGACTGCAAGTACTTCTTGACATCCACAATAGCATCTGGGTTTGATGACTGTATATGGGATGGATCCCCAGGTAGGGCAGCCTCTGGATGGCCTTTCCTTCAGTCTCTGCTCCACATTTCATCTCCATATTTCCTCCCATGAGTATTTTGTTCCACTTTATAAGAAGGACTGGAGCATCCACACTTTTGTCCTCCTTTATCTTGAGCTTCATGTGGTCTGTGAATTGTACCTTGGGTATTGTGAGCTTTAGGGCTAATATCCACTTATCAGTGAGTACATATCATGTGTGTTCTTTCATGATTGGGTTACCTCACTCAGGATGATATTTTCTAGTTCCATCATTTGCCTGTGAATTTCATGAAGTCATTTTTTTTAATAGTTGGGTAGTACTCGATTCTAACCAAGCAAGTGAAAGATCTGTATGACAAGAACTTCAAGTCTCTGAAGAAAGAAAATGATCTCAGAAGATGAAAAGATCTCCCATATTCATGTATTGGCAGGATTAATATAGTTAAAAAGGCCATCTTGCCAAAAACAATCTACAGATTCAATGCAATCCCCATCAAAATTCCAAATCAATTCTACATAGAGTTTAAAAGAGCAATTTGAAAATTCATTTGTAATGAATGTATTTCCTGTAAACCCAGGATAGTGAAAAATATTCTCAACAATAAAAGAACTTATGGGGGATTCACCATCCCTGATCTCAAGCTATATTTCAGCTGGCTTTTTTATATTGCTAGGCCAACCTATAGGCATGGGACTGCCTCAATGGGATGGGATCTTACACATCAAATAGTAATCAAGAAATTTCTGGGCAGACATGCCAAAAGACCAATGTGATGAAGGCAGATATTCAGTTGAAATTCCCTCTTCACAGATGTATCAAAGTGACAACAAAACTAAACATGACACTCTTCTATTCAACTCCTGAAGACTACATCTTGACTCTTATGGCTTTCAGAAGCTTATCCCACCCACCCATTCTGCCTGATTGAGCTGATAGAAGCTCTCTGCAAAGACTGTTCTTATACATCATTGACTGGAAATTCAGAATGGTGTCTACAATATGAATTTGGCAACTTTTGTGTGATGAAAGGATCCATTCAAAAAATTCGCATAAAATATTTTGTTCAATCTTTTTTTCTGTCCTCAGGATAACAATCTTAATGTCTATATTATGTAACCATAAAGATAATATTCTTGTTTACAACTTTATAAACTATCATCTTGTAAGTGTTGAATAAATGCAACTAAGTAAAAATTACTGCCTTGCAACCATAATATATATGTAATAGAAGTCTGTTTTCCAGTTCACAACACAAAGAAAATGGCAAGATTTTCTGCTCACAGAGTCCATGATTCCAAATTACTATACCAAAAGTTGTTTTTAAAAAATGAAACTATCAATTTGGAAGAAAGCAGATTTTTTATTCTGGAGTATGATACTTTGAGATACACTTTTTTGGGTTTGTTTTAGAGTTACCACAAATGTTCATTCTTAAGAACTTTGTAAATGGAGGTATATTCTTTGTATACAATAGCTACATATATCCAAGGAGCAAATACTAAATTCAGAATGGTCACTAACTAGTACCTTGGCAATCTTATGGCACTTAAATCAACGAGTGAATTATCCACCAACCAAAGTGTTTCAACTCGAATCAGTCTTCTAAGAATTCTGTTAAAATTTTCAACTTGGTTAGGGTCCCCCAAATCCTGAAATGAAATGTTCAATTTCTGAAGGAAAAACAAAAGTGATAAGTTGTTAATATTAGCACAGTTATTACTCCAAATGTGATAATGCATCTTTTGTTGAACTTTATTTAAATCATCTCCCTCTTCATCTTCCACAATATTCATTCTCCTAAGCACTCATAATTGTGTTGCCAGTATTCATAGGGGAAGGTTGGTGCTACTCGGAACTGCTGAGTGAAGTCAAGTCAGAGGTAGATGAGAGAAGGGTAGGAGCCTCAAAAAAATAATCGGAAATGTTCTAGGGTGCACAGATTATAGTGCATAAAAATTTATTGGAGAATGACTTGTCTGAATGATCACTCCATTGGCCTAACTCAGAAATACTCAGAAATAACATTTACAAAAAATCTAGCTCAGGCACTAAGATCAGCAATTAATAAAGAGGACCTCATGAACCCAAAAAGCTTCTAGAAGGCAAAGGACACTGTCAAAAGAAAAAGATGGCAGCTTACAGAATGGGAAAAGATTTTCCCCAACTCCATATCTGACAGAGGACTGGCATCCAAAATATAGAAAAAAAACTCAAGAAGCTAGACATCAACAAACCAAATAACCCAAATTAAAAATGTACAGATCTAAACTAATAATTCTCGATAAAGAAATCTCTATTGATTAAGAAATCTCACTTAGCCATGAAGAAAATACAAATCAAAATGATTATGAGATTCCACCTTACACCTAATGAATGGCTAAGATCAAGGTCTCAAGTGACCAATCGTACATACTGGCAAGAATGTGGAGCAATGGGAACACACCTCCATTGCTGGTGGGAGTGCAAAGTTGTATAACCACTTTGGAAATCACTTTGATGGTTTCTCAGGACATTGGAACTAGATCTACCTAAAGACCCAACTAACACTTGGGCACATGCCCACAGAATGTTCCATCCTATCACAAGAACACATGTTGAACTATGTTCATAGCAGCTTTGTTGATAATAGACAGAAACTGGAAACAAACTAGTCCCTCAACTGAAGAATGGATAAAGAAAATGTGGTACATTTACACAATGGACTATTACAGAGACATTACAAACAGTGACATCATGAAATTTGCAGATATATGAATAGAACTAGAAAAGTAACCCAGACCCAGAATGACATTTTTGTACTCACTTATAAGTAGACACTAGTCATAAGGTACAGGATAACCATGCTACTGAATACAGACCCATAGATGCTAAGTAACAAGGAGGAACCAAGAAGGGATGCTTGAATCTTGCTGAGAAGGGAAAATAGATTAGACATCAAGAGAGACAGAGGTAGGAAACTGGGTGGGGGAGGGCTGGGTATGGGAACAGGATGGATAAGGTGTGCAGAAGACAGAGGGAGAAAGTACTGGGAGATACAACTGGATTGGGAGGGCATATCCCCAGAATTAGCTTGAAACCTAGGACAATGGAAATTCCCAGAAATCTGAGGGTGATCATAGCTAAGCCTCCTAGCAATGGGGGATATTGAGACTGAACCACCCATATCCTATATGGCAAGTCTTCCAGTGGAGGGATTGGGGCACCATCCCAGGCACTACAACTTAGACCCATCATTTGTCCTGCCTACAAGATGAGCAGAGGTAAAGATGGAACAAAATTTGAGGGAATGGCCAAGCAGTGACTGGACAAGCTTGAGACCCATGCAATGAGAGGGAGCCCACTCCTGACACTATTAATGATATAATGCTATATTTGAAGACAGGAGCTAGAGTAACTGTCATCAGAAAGGTTTTATCCAGCAACTGATGGAAACTGATGCAGAGATACACAGATAAACATTAAACAGAGTTTGGAGAATCCTGTGGAAGATTGGGAGGAAGGATTGAAGGAGCTAGAGGGGTCAAGGACACCACCACAAAAAAATCTACAGAATCAGTTACCTTGGGCCTATAGGGGCTCATAGAGACTGCACTGTCAACCAGAAAGCATGCACTGGATAAACCTATGCCCTTTGCCCATATGTAACAATTGCACATCTGGGCCTATATGTAAGACTCCTAAAGTGGAAGGGAGTAGGGCCTGTCTCTGACTACACTGCCTGTCTTAGAATCTTTTTCCCCTTACCTTACTTTCTTGTCTAGTCTTACTGCAACTTAATATGCCAGTGCTGATTGATATCCATGGGAGGCCCCCCCATTTTCTGAGGAGAATGGGAAGAGGGGAAGGAAGGGAAGGAGAGACAGGAAGGTAACAAGGGAAGGAGGGGAATCTGCAATTCAGATATTAAAAAAAATATCCAGCAAAAGATGACATTAATCAAAAGATGAAATTTGGTTGTGTTTAAGGCAACTCTGAATACATATTTATAAATTACTTTATTTCAAGGCAGTAATTTAATGTTCAGTTGTAGTAACAGTCAATTTGAGAGTATAGGAAGTGAGTACTACTCCTGGTGGTACCAGGAAGGTCTTAAAACCTTCATATCTAAAAGACAATGTAACATTTTAAACTAGGTCTCACCACTAACTCCTGCCAACAAAAGCTACTGAATAAAATAGTAACCTCCTAATTAAATATTTGAAGCAAAATAATTTGCTACATTTAAGGAGCTACAGACATCTTACTTTAGAAAATTAAAGTGTGAAGTTGAAGAGATGGCTCAGGGGATAAAATGCTTACCACTGAATAGTGAGAACCCAAAGTTGAACACCCAGAAGCCATTCAAAGAGTGGGAATGATAGCAAGCACATATAATCCTAGTTCTACCATGAGAAGGGAGGTGGAGAAAAGGGAAATCCCCAAATCTCTCAGGCCAGCTAGCCTGACATAGGTAAGGTGAGCAAAACTCATATCCCTGTCTCAAAGACAAAGACTGACAACTAATGCTATCGTTTTATCTCATGTTCTTCATGGTATGTGAACACCCATGCAAATGTGAGTGTATGCATACACGCAAGCACAAACATCATACATATATGAAAAGAAAGTTAAATAAGACAAAATTCAGGCCTTGATATTCTAGACCAGTTGTTCTCAGTCTTTAATTTAATACACCTTCTCATGCCACGGTTACTGCCACCCATGAAGTTATGTTCATTTCGACATTATAACTGTAACTTTGTTATGGTTATGAATCATAATGTAAATATTTTTGAAGATAAAGGTTTTCTAAAGTACTCATGAACCCCAGGATGAGAACCACTGTTAACACTAAACATTATAAAAATTCATTCTTAAAGCTCTGTTTTCTATAAGCACAAAAGGCTCTTTTCTAAAAATAAAACATAAAGAATGAAGTAAGATCATAGTTACATCACCTACACATCAAGGTTACCGATCAGTTTTCTTATTTTCTGTTATTTTGCAATTAAGTCTTCCATGGTAGTTTAGAGTTTATCAAGTCAGCTTTTTATAGTTACTCAAAGGTTGATTGTGGTTTTGATGATCATTGATTAACAAGCTCCATTGACCTTTATGCTCGCCCCATCTTTTAAATTACAGCTGTAAAGAATGAATAGACCAATGTAATCACCACCAGAGAGAAGCCTGGCACTGGAGGTCAGAGCTTCGGGTGAATTGTTTATCTTTCAAAATAAATGAGTGGGCACACTGGTAAGTTTGAAAAGAGTAGTATGAAGTAGGTATCCATTTATTTTATAGGACTGATTTAAAATTAATCTTAAAGGAAGCATTATATTGTAAATATAATGGTATTCTGGTTTTACGTCTTCCACTAATAAGCTCTGCAACCTTGAGAAAACCATTGTTTTGTTGTTGTTGTTGTTGTTTTGTTTTGTTTTATTGGACTTCTGAATGGAGGAAATTTAAAACAGAACCTCTTAGAAATTTCTATCCATGTACTAATTCTATGACATTACAACTGTAAAGTAAAGGAGGAATTCGGAGATTCCAACAAGAAACAACAAGCTTCCATACTCACCTTCATCTCTCTATATCCTAAAATCCTCAAGCTTCGTGTAATCATTTCCACACAGCTGTAAAGTGGATGATTTTTTTCTTTTATTTTCAGCAACGCTACCAATGGTATTGCCACAAAGATATGCAGTACTCTACCTACAGGTGATTTTTAAGGGAACTACACTAGAATTGAGTGATCACAGCCACTGTCACCTGTGCAGAGAACAGGATGACTCATTAAATTGTCTCAGTGCCACTAACTCAGTCAGCTGAGCCTCACCCTGTGAAATCACAGCTCATATCTTTCCTGGTAAAAAAAAAAGTTCATTTGTACAGATTCCATGCTAAGGACTTTGGCTCCCTTAGCTCTTCAAGACTTTTACCAACATAGGTCTATCAAGAAATTCTACATAACTTCATAAGCATAATGATACACACTATTACAATAAATTTGACATTAAAAATCTTTTTATTTTTGTTTTATGTGTATGGATATTTTTCATATGTGCATGTCTATGCATACCACATGGATGTAGTGCCCACAGAGGACAAAGGGGGCATTGGATTGTCTAGGACTGGAATTCAAGACAATGTGAGGTACAGTGTGGGGCCTGGAATTGAACCTGTGTCCACTGGAAGAGCAGTCAGTGCTCTTAACCGTGGAGCCATCTCTCCAGCCCTAAATTTGACTTTCTTTTAAACAAAGGGAACAATTTCATTTTCAATTATTTTCATACTTTCCTAAGCTTAACAATACCGTCATGTAAGTAGAAAAATATATAACTTTGTCCAGATTAAATTGGAAAGTGGAAGGAAAAATGAAGAGTTGTGGGTTCTTATCTATAGATGCTGAATATTTTTGTACTTACTGGCTATTGCCCCTTAATAAAGATTCACTGTATGAATTTTCAATTGATTAATGCAAATAGCCAATTATTTTTAATGAGTAATATTGTAATTGATCAGCAGGGAGTGCAGGATTGACCAGAGCTGACCTTGCAGTCTTCCCAGTTTTCCTGCAACCACATTTTCCATTCGTTTTTCAAAAGTACTCTTTTCTTTGAAGGCAAGGTGCACCCCACCTGTCTGGAAAGTAACCATTCTTCAGAGGGTCCTGAAACAAAAATATAACATGAAACCTCAGAAGTTAGAAGACCACCAGTTACATCTTTGACTGATTTTTGTCAAGTGTTTTGAAACTTTAGTCTCTATCTGGATGGAAAATAGCATGATTTAAATATATTATTCCCCTCTAGTGTGTGCTCTACTCCCCATTGCCATGCCTAATCCAGGTTAAAGAAAGCTAGATCACATGAGCCAATCAAATTTTCCACTTTTGAAGGATTGCCAGAAATGTTTGTCACAAAATTTTCCCACTGGACTTCCTCTCATATCTTGCAAAGTACAGGACAGCCTCTGGATCCATAGGTTCTCTAACTGTCATTGGTTGAAACTAAGGATGTAGAACCCATGGTAGAAGTTTAACTGGGAGACTAGACTCGGATTTGGAAACAGGAAACTAGATTCATTCATGTGAACCCTGACCCTGTTCTCCTTGTTCTTCCCCCTACTGGAGAAGCCTTGTCTAATGGCTTATCATCTAAATATCCCCAACACAAGATTCCTTACATACGAGGAGAACTAGCCAACAATTTTATTTCTTTTTTTCATCAATTAATTTTAATTTTCAATAGAAATCACAGAAAAGAGAATTCATACTTGTAAATTATTTAAATTTATATATATGGATTGGATATGTTTAAGCTAATATATATGTATAATACACACACATGCATATACATATATATATATATGTATGTATATATAATCAATGGACCTTGTTTCTAAGGATAATTAAGAGCAAATTAAATAAAACGACTTAAGTGTGAATCAGAGAATTGATCTTCAGTCAACACACACACACACTCATACACACACACACACACACACACATACACACACACCTATACACACGAAGACAAACATAGACACACACAAAAACACATGAAAATTCACTTGTACATTACTTTTAAAATTTGAAGTAGCATATGAATAGGGAAAAACAGTAATTAGACTATATATTCTCTCCCATTTTATTAGACCACCCTAAATTCAAGGCATAGGTTTTGAAGTTCATATATAATTCAATATTTTTTTCTACAATTACTAAAAAGTAAAAGAAGTTACTTTAATTAATACAGGAAAAATTAGCATGTAGAATTAGCCCATAGGCCTATGTAAATTATATCTAGCACACAAAAATGAGGGGAGTCAGCAATATATCTAATTTTGATATAATTTGTATGGAGGAATGTGAAGCCATTCCCAATTACCTCTCTTTGGTGTCCCAATTCAGTGAGTTCTTTATCTGATCATTTTTCACCATGAGACTCAGTTCCTTCCTTTTCAGTGCTGGGATACTCAGATCCCATAAAGCTCAAGCTGCTTCCTCAGGGTTATCATTTGAAGTTGCTACCAAGCCTTCAGGCAACATTTGCTATGTAGCATGCCCATGCAAAGCATGGCAGACATGACTAACTCCCTGCCCACAAACCCTATCTTGTCAACAGAACTGCCCACATCTTACCCTAATTTGTATTTCCAAAGCAATTTTCTACTGTTCTCCAATATTCTCCTCCAAATAAGGTTTGTTCACAATTCTCAATGTTAAGAAAGATTGTTCTGCTTCAGATCTTAAGGTGGGTGGAAAGGAGCCCAGAGACTATAGAGAAAGGATCTTCAGGTACTGACCTTCAGCTCTTTGCATACCTAAAAATACCAGAAAGTTCAGAAGCAAGGGCCCAAAGTTAGCTGAGTTTGGATATAAAACATATTTGCTTTTTTATTTATGATTATTTAAATAAGGCATTTATTTCTAAAAAAAAAAAAAAAGCCAACATATGCTTTTTTATGTCCACAATCTGCTACATGGTTTACTGAGCTACCCAAGCAATGCTAATTCTTGTATCATCCAGGGCCACTAAAGCAACTCAGTGGTGAGCTTTCAAGGCTGCCTCCCACCACCAGCATATTGTATTTATATGTATTATATGTATTATTGTTGTATTGTTGTCCCCATGCCCTTTGTCCTCATTTCTGCCTGTCTATTTTTCTGGAATAGATGTCTCTATTCTTTTCAAGGATAAAGAACATATCAAAAGGAACATGGAAGCACTACAGCCTGACAATGCTCATGTGGCATGTTTGTTTAGACCACAGGTTCTCAACCTATGGATTGCAACCCCTTTCCGGGTGGAGTGACGCTTTCCCATAGGTCAACTAGCACCATCAGAAAGCACAAATATTTATACTATGATTCATAACAGTAGCAAAATTACAGTTATGAAGTAGCAATAAAGATAATTTGTCATTGAGGTCACCACAACATGAGGAACTGTATCAAAGGGTTGCAGCATTAGGAAGGTTGAGGACCACTGCTCTAGATGATGACAAGAAGTAATGGTTCCATTTGTGAAGAATTTATGGAGGCAGAAAGAGAAAGAAGCCACTGTTTCATTATTTTGACACAAGCATTAGTCTTTTTTTACCAGTGGGAGGTATAGGTCAAGGTGTCATCTAGCCTACTTCTGTCAAAATGAACTCTATTGTAGTAACAGAAGAAATCCTTTGACCCTCGACTAAGGTCGAGTCAACAAATTTGCAAATAAGATAACTTCAGTTAGGAAATGGTATTCATCAATAAAGATGATTAGAACTATAATCCACAGTGTAGAGAGCTTGAAAAATCCACCCAATTGACATTTGATACCGTCAAATGCTATTGCCTTGAACCCACTCCAGATTTGGTAATGCTCGCAGTGTGTTAAATACCCCAGAGTTTTTAAGCTCTGCCCTGTGCTGTTTGCTTGAGTGCTATTGATTTTCTGGTCTTTTAACTGTTTCTCGTTGCAGTAGACTCCAAATATTTCTTTGGTATTGGAGGCCAAAGGTCATTTCCTCTGTAAAGAGTTACATTAAACTAGCCATTTTTTTTTTGCTTCTACTGAGTTAATAATTGAAGATATATCTTAGCAGCTAAGACTATAGAGCAGATTATTTGACAGCCCAGGGATGTTGGCTCTTGCTTTCTATCTCTCAGCTCATTCTTTGTCTCATCACTGGATTTATGACTAGAAATGGAAGTCAAAGAATCACTTTGCTGGGAGATTTTCAATTGAAATAAATCTATCCTTTAGAAGGATTCTGTTAGCAATTGGCTTCTTTGCTTCATTTAATTGGAAGAAGCTATGTCAGTCTTGATCCAGCAATCAAAGCCTCAGGAAATTGCTGTTTATCACATGCCAGATAACCTTGCTTTCCTTACTAACTCTTTTGGGAATAGACAATTGGGACAGTTGAGATCAACAAAAATAGTTTTGACAAGTAATTCAGGAGTTAATCTCAGAGGAGGATAATTCTTATCAGTGTACTCTTGAAAACATTTGTTTTCCATCTCACAAAACAAACTTAAATCAAATTGAGACCATTTTAGAATGGACATCTATTTCCTTTATAGTTTGAGGTGATGGGATTTTTGCCCAGTGTTTTCCTTCCCCTAGGTAATGCTCTGTTTCTTTTATGACTAGTCACTTAGGAGCGATTGGGTTCTGTTAATGATCTAAGGAAGGGAAAATGTGCCTTTATCTCAAAAGAGCAATGGTGTCCTCTGCATGAGTGGTTACTGTTGTCATGGAGTGGGATTGGATTTGCTGATTGATGACCTCAGCACTTGACCTGGCCCTTTAAATCATGGTGTGAGGGAGGCTAGTGAACTATTTCTGTACATGCTCACTTTCTTTTCTCTCTCATATTTACTATTATTTTCATGTCCTCATGTTTCCTCAGTTCTATAGTTCTCACCACATCTCAGCCCTCTACTTATGCTGAGACTACAACTTCTATTTTTATTCATTCTTCTCTCATATATTATATCCCAACTGTAATTTCCCTTCCCTCACCTCCTCCAGTCTCCCTTACCACCCTTTTTCTCCAGATCCACCCTCACTCTGCCACCTCTCAGAAAAGGCCCCCAAAGATATCAACCAAACAAGGCATAAAATGCTACAATGAGACTAGCCACATGCCAGCACATCAAGGCTGGATGACATTATGCAGTAGGAGTAAAAGTGTCCCACAAACAGGCAAAAGAATCAGGGACAGCCTCTGCTCCCAATGTTATGATTCCACAAGAATACTAAGTTACCCAGCCATTACATATATGCAGAGAACTAAGGTAAGACCCATACAGGTTCCCTCATCTCTTAGTTTCCTGTGAATATAAATTCACAGGAAAGTTGCAGAATACAAATTCTTCTTGCATCATTGTAGCTGACAAAATCATCAAGCATCCTCCAACCATGTGTGTGTATATTTGCACAATATCACACACAGAGAGACATACACACACACACACACACACACACATACACACACACACCAATGTCTTTCCTTTTTTACTGTCTATCAGATGTCTCTTCTCAAAACACTAAGTATGTTTCATAGGAAGGCCTTCGGATAGTCTCCAATAGAATTTGCTGCAGTTGTTCAGCAAGTCCAGGAAGGTTCCAGAAATCCATCCCATAGAAACTATATCACATTGTGGTGCAAAGGCCCAGAAATGCAACTTTTCACATGATACACTTAAAGATCCAAGCTGACTCCTGTTCATCTTACACAGTGGCAAGGCTCACTCTCCAATGCAATGGCAAACTCCTCACTGACTGGTACCTACTTGGTCTCTGTATCTTCTGATCTTACTCCTTCCTAATTTTCTAAAATTTCTCTCTTTCAAAAAATAGTCTAATGTTTCTAAAAGCCACACCTAATTTATATGTCTTAATGTTATTTACTGGCATTTTAAAAAACAAGTTAATGCTTAGCTGCCTATAGAGTTAATAGCCGTAAAGTATGTGAGCATGCTTTGTACCAGGTTTAAGAATATATAGAGAAAATGTGGTACATTTACCCAATGGAGTAATACTCAGGTATTAAAAACAATGACTTCATGAAATTCGCAAGCAAATGGATGGAACAAGAAAATATCATCTTGAGTAAGGAAACCCAGTCACAAAAGAACACACATGGTGTGCATTCACTTATAAGTGAATGTTAGGCAAAAAGCTTGGAATACTCATGATACAATTCATAGGCCACATAAAACTCAAGAAGAAGGAAGATCAAAGTGTGGGTGCTTCAGTCCTAGTTGGAAGGGGGAACAAAATAATCACAGGAGGTAGAGGGTGAGAGAGACATGGGAGAAAGAGACAAGGGGAAAGGGAAAACGGAAGTGGAGTCAGGTATTGGAGGAGATGGGGGAGAAATACAGAGGGTCAGAAAATTGAACAGAGGTATGTAGCAATGGGGAATAGGGAGCTGGGGTTAGTCACCAGAATGCCTCAGAAGCCAGGACAGCAAGAGGATCCCAGGACCCAACCTGGATAACATTAGCTGAAATACACCACAAAGGGAGCGAGAACCTGTAGAGACCATATTCAGAAGTTAGACACGGCCTCCAAGTGAAGGATGGGGCTACCTACATGTATCCAAAATTTTAACCCAGAATTGCTCCCATCTAAAAGAAATACAGAGACAGAAAGTGTAGCAGTCAGTGAAGGAAAGGCCATCCAAAGACTGTCTTACCTGGAGATCCATCCCATATACAGCCACCAAAACCAGTCACTATTGCTGATGCCAAGAAGTGCTTGCTCACAGGAGCCTGATACAGCTGTGTTATGAGAGGCTCTGCCAGGACCTGACCAATACAGATGCGGATGCTGGCAGCCAACCATCAGACTGAGCACTGAGACTCCAATGGAGGAATTAGGGGGAGGACTGTAGGAGCCGAATGGGTTTGCAGTCCCATAGGAAGAACAACAATATCAATCAACCAGATCCTCCAGAGCTCCCAGGGACTAAACCATCAACCAAAGAGTACACATGGAGGGACCCATGGCTCCCGCTACATATGTAGTAGAGGATGGCCTTATCTAGCATGAATGGGAGAGGAGGCCCTTGGTCCTGTGAAGGCTGGATGCCCCAGTGTAGGAGAATGCTAGGGTGGTAAGGCAGGAGGAATACATGGGTGGGTGGACGAGGACCCTCATAGAAGCAAGGGGGGATGAGATAGGGGGGTTATGGAGGGGAACTCTGGAAAGGGGATAGCATTTAAAATGTAAATAAGTAAAATATCCAATAAAATACATAAAAAGGAATATATTTAGGTCTTCTTTTGTTGGCTGAGTTTGAATGAAAGACATATATTATGTGGGTAAAATAGTGCTACTGTTAAACATAAATGGACAGGTTAACATCTCTAAGGATATTTTTTCAAAATCAGCCTTTAAATTACATAATATAAAGTATACATTTCATTATACAATTATAATATATATGTGCATTATGTAATACAATGTATACAGTGTATTATGTAATACACTATATACATATATATAGTCACATATTATGTTCATAATATATACATATATCATATAGTATTTATATATAGGTTTATATTATATAAAATTATATAAATATATAAAATGTATTACATAAATATAACACATAATAATATTCATAACTATATGCATTTATATAATATACAGTGTTACCTCAATACATTAAGTATAGATGAGAAAAAAAGTACTTAAAACTTCATAAAAATTAAAAGTTCAGTTAAACAGAAATGACGTTTTGCTTACTTAAATGTGATAAATATATAATGACATGAGAAATATATAAGCCCCTGTGAGAATTCTAATTTATTAAAGTCCAAGGCCAGGATTTGAGATATTGGGATTCTGATGCCCAAGCCTGGGAGATGAGTATCTTTGCCCCTGAAGAGAGATACAATTCATCATTTCTCTGTTCTTTAATTCTATCATAGTATTCAAACAATTGGATGGTTTCCACCTGTTTCAGGTAAGGGAATACTCTACTAATTCAAATGATAGGCTTTCAATGGTATCCACAGAGGTAAGACAAGATATAATACTTTGCCATTTCTTTACATATTTCTTAATACAGGCAGAATGACAAATAAAATTATCATCATGAGGGGGGCTTCAGAACAAATAAATAAGAACTGTATTCACGTTCTGTGATAGCATCACCCAATCATTGAGTCTCAGAGAGAAATAAATGGAAGAGAGAAGATGAGTCCACTCTCACTTCTGGAGCCATCAGAAGTTCACATGACCCAGTGTTTAGACTCTAGGCCTTATACGAGAATTTTCCCATGAAACTCCAACTAAGATAGTCACATCATCAGCTTCCCTGGTTCTTCAGCTTGTTGACACATTTGGAGACTTCACATCTTCTGTAATCATGTTAGCCAATTATTATAACTAATATCATATAATTTTATCTACTGACAAAAATATTGTTGATTATGTTTTACTGGAAACCCTACTACACTGAATATAATCTTTTATTGATTTTAATACATTTACACAAAATTGAAGCAGCTCATTATTTGAGATATTATTCATAAAAACAAATTAATAAACTAGTTTCTAAAAGATAATCATTGATTTAATCCATTTAAATTGTACATGTATTATAAATACATACAACTTTTAAAAGGTATATTTTAATTGATAGCATAAGCATGCAAAATACAAACACATATATATGAATGTATAGATGTATAGTAGGTCTTGTAACCATCTAAAGTAACCCTATTTAATTTTTGGAACAAATTATTATTATTATCACAATGCTTTAAATATTAAATCACAATATAAACAATCCTTTGCTACTAAAAAATTCAATCTGCAAACAATATCTTTACATCCCTAATAAATATAATTTAATATACACTGTGGTGGTTTGAATAAGAACAGTTCCCATAGGTTTATACGTTGAAATACTTGGTCCTCAGTTAGTGGAACAGTTTGGAAAGGATTAGGAGGTGTAACCATGTTGGAGCAGATATATTAGAGCCTAAAAATGGACTCTAAATTTTTAAAAGTGCTCACCATGTCCAGTCTCCCTAATCCCCCACCCCTGCCTGATGGTTAAGAATAAACAAGCCCCTAATTAAATGCTTTCTATTATAAGAGTTGCCTTGGTCATGGTATCTTTTCACAGCAATATAATAGTAACACACACACACAATCTACTCAGACAAAGTGTAAAAAGATTTTTTTTTTACCTTTTCTTATTCTTGGGCAATGTAGCTGACTACCTTGAATCTCATGCTGTTCTATATTGTACCACGTGAGGTATTTGCAAGAATCTGATGGAAGCTTAAAATAAGAGAGAAAATAAATATCATCTAATATATGTATACAATATAAAATGTATTTCCTTTGTTTCTATGTGTCAAACGTTCAGTAAAATTGAACTCCAAATGTCCTGTGATGGAAGTCACCTTAGCACATTCTACATTACGCATCTTCATGCCCTGTATCCCAACACTTGCAACTTATTCATGTTTGGTGGTCAACAATAAAGTAAATAAGTATACATATACACATATATAAACATACATCATATATTTACATGCACAAAAGTATCATGAGTCTACTTTAAGCACTTATGTTAAACACCTTTTGATGTCTGTTTACTATTTCACGAAAATCAATTGACTGTAGAACAGTTCTGAGTGGTAAGATTGCTTCATTAAATGGACACTTTTTATTGTATAACTCCTCTAAATTGTTTCACCTGTATGTTTGCCATTTGTAATTACATAAAAGAATCTCTCATCATGTGATTACAATATTAAGTGTGTGACATTGTTGATTAGCTTCTTAAGTCATCTAGTTCTCACACAGATCTGGGTTTATAAATTTTAAACGTCCTGATGGCCGCTGCTGTGAAGCACTTCTCTTTATTAACACTAAGATAAAGTGTGAAGTTCTCATTGGATGAAGTATTTCAGACTTGGTCATCTTCCTTTTTGTGGCCAGTATAGCACTAACCAGAATATATGCTGAAACAATCTCCTGGTCAATCTTTCAGAGCACTTATTGCTGTTCCAGAAGATCTGAGCTCAGTTTCCAGAACACATGATAAGTGTTTTACAACTACCTATAATTGTGGCTTCAGGGGATTACAGTCCCTCTTGCCTTACTGTAAAGATTGTGGACAATCAAAATTCCCAGGATTTTGTATCTCTGATGTCAGTTTCAAGGTTAACATAAACAAACAAAATTTATATTACTGAAGAAATACCATGCTAAATGTGTACATAAATGATATATTTCATTCCTTTGATATCTATTGTTACACACAGATACAAAAGACCAATTCAGGATACATGGCTTAACAAAACACCATCAAAACATTAAAAACAGCTGCATTTATGTTACTGAGTCTGTCACATAGCTTATATTTTTCCTAGATATAAATTTGTGTAACCAATGTAAAAATATTTCAACTGCTAGATAATCTTATCTTTCAGGTGGTTAATATAAATTAAACATGAATTTTTCCTATGAGATTTTGAACTGTTAGTATGCTAGTATGTAAGTCTATACTGTGAATTGTTTCCATGGGCTTTAAAGTCATAATGGCTTTCATTCTTGGCCCAACACATGGAGGAACTGGAAAAGGGCTGTCAAAAATTAAATTAATAACGTGTGACGTTAATCCATTGATCTTGAGGCTAGGAGAAATCTCAGCATTTGAAAGCACTTCCTTCTGTCTTAGAAAACCTGAGTTCAGTTTTCAGGACACAAGGTAAGTGTTTCACAACTGCCTATAACTCTGGCTCCAGGGGATAATAATAGTTCCTCTGGCTTCCACCAGCAACTATACACTCAAGAGAACATGCCCAAAGATAAACACATAATCATACACATATTTACAAATAATATTGACAGTAAAATTTTAAAATATGGTCATTTTACGTCATTACTTAGTCCCTTGATGACCTGAGTTCTTTAGCTATAATCTACATCTACATTGTAAAAATACTCTGTCACCACAAACTTGATTAGCAGATGCTAAAATGATAGCAATTCTAGTGCAATTTGTTGAAATAGTGTTTGCTAATGAATTTCCTAGGAATTAAGTTGCTTTTATGAACTGTTTAAAACTACTAATAAACAGAGCTAGATCTCACATTGCTAAACTTTACGATTAAATTATTATCAGTTGTATTGTTTAGATGTTTGTAGAAGCTTCTTTCCAAAATTTTGTTTTTAGAATATGTCCTCACTTTGCAAAATTTAAAGTAGAAAATTTCTATATAGAAAATCTTCCTGCAAGTTCAGGTCCCTGGGGCTACCACAACCCATTGCCTCATAGTGATTCTTTAGAAAGCTGATAGTAGTGGAGATGGAAGAGAATTCAAGCTAAAGATATTTATATTAATTATATTATATTTATTATATTATGTTTGAGAAAAGAAAAATCTTCCATCTTTTCACATGAAATACAACAAAGCTTGTTGTTTTGTTTTCTACAAGCAGTTATGTGGCTTAATTTGTGGCTTCTGATGTTACAAAGAATCTGAGTTGTGTCTTGATTACTACTGTGCTAAGTTGTGCATGTGGTATGACATATGATTATTTTGCTCTACAAGATAACAGTGAATATTCATACCTTGCCTTATAGTTTTTCTACTTTTAATTTTGATGGCTTGATAAACTTAGGTAAAGCCTCTTGCACTCCAGGTTTTAAAAAATTTATATCCTTTATATAAGCATAACAATGGCTCACTGTGTGCTTTGCCACATTCATTTATATAAATAAATATTTTATGCATATATGTATACATACACATACATACATGTATACATAACACATACATACATACATACATACATACATATATGATCACATGTTGTGTGACAAGATTTTGGCAGACATTGAGAATACAAAATTGAGTAAAATATAGTAACTAAAAGAGTTGCGTTCTGTAATTTGAAAGTAGACATATAAAAATTCTTCTGAGATTATGGGCTAAGTGGAACCATTTTAATAAAAAGAAAAGAAATTAAAAACATTTGTGGTCTATGTTAAATACAAGATCATGCATTTTTGAAACCTAATGTAAGTTAAATTGATAATGGAAAAATATTTACCAAGGATGATATTCCAGAATCTGAACGTGAAGGACATGTTCTGTTCCTTGAAAGAGCTGAATGGATTTGAGGCTGCCTGAGACCAGAGCAGTATGATGTGATAGACAGACAGGTCTCCTGTCTACTTGTGGTTCGATCTGAGGAGCTGAAGGAAATGATGTGTTTAAAGTATGTTTGTGTCTGTTTTGCTATCCTAAAAATAAGTACCTTTGTTTAAAATAAGAGCAAATTATAAGCACAAACTTGATCAATAGAAGAGTTAAACGATACTCCTAAGAGTTTATGAAAAGATCTTAATAACTTAGCATTGTCATATATATGTTTAATATATATGTTTATATATAATATATTATATATAATATAGTTTCATAGCTTATAATATAAAAGATGTATATACATGTACATGTATATATGTAAATATGTATATACATATATACATATAAATACATGCGCACACACACACACACACACACACATATATTGTCTCTCCTCTCCAAAACACGACTGTATGCATGAAAAATATGTTAGCACACTACCAAGCTTATAAAATGCCAAGTTTCTCAGGTCAAGCACTGTAATGTCATTCTCCATGGAGCTATGCAGCTGAGTTGGCACCTGCCAGCATCCTAATTCTATTTTGTGGCACCTCACCTAAATGTTCCCTGAGATTTATCATTAAAATTAATGGCAATCTCTTGAGTTCTTTGTATATATTGGATATTAGCCCTCTATCAGATGAAGGATTGGTAAAGATCTTTTCCCAATTTGTTGGTTGTCGTTTTGTCCTATTGACAGTGTCCTTTGCCTTACAGAAACTTTGCAATTTTATGAAGTCCCATTTGTCAATTCTCGATCTTAGAGCATATGCCATTGGAGTTCTGTTCAGGAACTTTTCCCCTGTGCCCAAGTATTCGAGGCTTTTCCCCACCTTCTCTTCTATTAGTTTCAGT